TCACTCTTTAATAGAGTAAGAAGTTACTGTCCGGTAATGAACATTTGGTTGTTATTTAGATCAGTGACGACTAACACATTAAGACAAAGAAGCACTAAAATTTTCTACTACGTTCGTTACCTGATGGTAAAATAATTCTTGAGTTCTTATTGACAATTATAATATCAACTATATTGTGATTGCGGTTTAATGAGTAGATATCTACCCCAAATCCTAATTCTATAGCGAGATAAAAACAATTTAACTTATCAACATCGTATATTAAGAATATATTCTAAATCTATATCCTACACGCACAATAAACAATTAGCAGTCGAGAACAATTAAACTGCATTCAATTCTGACCCATATGGTTAAACTTTTAAACTTCTGGTCGGTCGTGTTACGGTTTGGATCGACGATAAAGTTCTGTCTTATTTCAATTTCGACAAACTATATCTACACTGGGTCTTCTATGATGGAAACCTTGCAATCCAAAGACTTTCTCATATGAGCTGTATTCTTACTCACAAATTATCAAAAATAACTCTAAAAGTTATCAAATCATCATGTTCGAGAGGCCTTCAGCCCGATGATTGGTTGGACACGCACCTTCACTTACTTCTACCTATCTTCAACCAATCTGCACATTTCTTGTCTCTCTAAATGTTTCATCATTTATGAAGTCTATATAAAACACGTCACCATCATCATCATCATAGGATCGTCAGTCCTAAGAGTGATTGAACAAGCACCTCCACGCATTTTCCTAAAATAGGAACATTTCACGTCCTTATTTGTGAGCAGTATTTTAATAAAGTCTACCCCTAACTTCTTAACTAATACTGTTTATGCTTCTAACAACAAGTAGCCCTTCATGTTCGAGAAGGCGTCCCACCAATCTATCTCACTTATTTCCAGTGCCCTCTCTTCTCCTACTCTTTCTAATATCTCACCATTCCTAACCTTCTTTATCCTCGGTATCATACTCCTGGAATACAAGATTTCAAACATTCCTAACCTTTTCCCTTCCGCCGCGTGCCCGACAGGGCCGTACTCCAAGCATTAACTTTTATTAAAAGAAAAAAGAAACTTTTGGGTGTTTCATTCCTACCAGCTACGAATGCTGGTGGGCGGGCAGTCCCTCCGAACTATGTCGGAAGGTAGAGTGGAAGGCACTCTTCAGCCTCCTTTCAGGAATCGTGGGAATGGGTGGTTGGCTATTCGGGTGAAGCAGACGAAATGAAGACAGAAGAGAATGAAAGATTATCTGTGGAATATTTCTGCCCCAGTATTTGCCTGAGTGATCCCAGGAAAGCATAGAAAAACTTGGTCTAAGGCAGGCAGACGGACCCGGAATCGAACCGGCATCCTCTCGAATGCTAAGCAATGGTCTAAACCACTTTTCTGTATGTACCTACTTATTTATACACCGCTCCTTTCATCCTAAATTATCAGTAACTTCCTAGATACAGAAAATCAGCGACTTCTAATTTTTGATCTCTCAAATTAATGTTAGCTCTTTCTCCATACTTTTCACTCCCTTCTGTACCAATATTTTTGTTTTACTCGTTTGTTAATACGTCTTGCAATGTATCATCAGCTTTGAGCAAGCTAATGTTTTGCAACTGTGTATAATGCGTTTAATGCTATTAATCCTGTCTTCAGTAAAATTCATGTAAAGTTTGGTGGAGACGTGACTTAGAGTCCTTCCATCAATCTCTTCAACCATTGCCTATTCTGTTGGCTTCTTCAACGTCCTTTTTCCATATTGTGAAGTTATACCATGAAAAAGTGGACGGCGTCATATCTGTATCCATAAATTGTTTTTGTATTTTTAAACGTTTTATAGGTTGTAGAAATCGAAAATGAGTCGCCACCGTGACTATATTTTTTGTAACATTCTTTAGCAATTATTATTGACCTCTCTGAATACTTTTGGGATACAATAGGGTCCATAAATCACATAATAACACAGTAGCTAGTATTAGGTAAGTATTTTTATTTTATCTAGAAACAGCACACAACTTTACGAGCACTAAAACAGGACACTAAAATATTGTTGCAGACCTATTCACATACCCATCATCTTGTATATCCACAAGGTATACAGGAACTGTACCGTCAACTGACTATCACACACAAGTGGCAGACATTTCAATTTACCCGCGCATCCATTATTGTACTCTGACTTAGGTGTAGGCTGTAAAACGAGGATATTTCATGCATGGATGGGAAAAGCTCCCGCGGCACTCTTTTTGTCCCGTCCGCAATTATTTTGCTTCAATCAGGCCATTGACGGGAATAATTGCATCAATGTGCAACTTTACTGCTCATAAAAGACCATTGTGACAAGAAGGCTTTATGCCGTCCGTTCATCGTAAGCAGCAAATTACGGAGTCAAGTCAATTCCAATTAGACCAGCGGCGCAAGAAGCTACAAACCACTTACCTGCACCGATCTATTGCAACGTGCACTGCATATAATGTGTTTTATTATGTGCCCGTAATTGCCTCGAAATGCATTCTTACCAGTAATAATTGTTGTTGTTCGACACAACGACACAATTTAACAATAACAACAGGTTTATGGGCGACTGCCGTTTGCAAAGTTAAGCCGTCTCTCTTGCCGACGGAAAGTCGATACGGTCGATAAACGAAATAATAAGCATCTTTTATCGGGAAGTTTGATATTATCTCAAAAACTCCAACAAAGAGTCTACTAAAGCAAGATGGATGAATATTTATTGATACTTACCGTCCGGTAAAAGTGAATAACCTATAAAGGTCAGAGTGTGTATCCAAGAAAAGAAAAACCGCTAGGTCACTCTAATCCCTTGCAAATAGCATTTTATGAGAACTGAATCCTAATTGGAGAAAATTTCAACAGAATGCCTTTTCAAATATAATGCCAAATTATGTTCTTCATACATGTTAATTTTATTTTTTCTTCAACCAAGAGTCAAAATTAGCCCGATAGAGGTAATCAAATCTATAGATCCTTTAAATCTTACCTAGATCTATGTATAATGTATACCGATGTAGATACTATAAAGGGCGTAAGGTTTGTTTGATTATATGGTTTACTATCTGAAACGTTCTCTTGATCGGTTATCAAATTATGAAACTTTTCTTCTGCGGAAGATTTTAAACTAAACATCATCACCCTCTCATTTACGGGATGGAGCAAGAAACAACCAGAACAATCCAGACAGTGACAGCTAGTGTCGAAAATAAAAGAAGTCCAATAGGCAGGATAGCAGATATACATACAAATATTTCTACCGTCGCGTCGCGCTGGCGAATTCAATAAATTGTTTTTTTCTGCAACCCATAAGGGTGAAGGTATAACTACAGCATATAAGGTGTTCTAATTCCATTATCCTCTTTTTGGAAACCCTTACGTTCATGAACAGAGCAAGTATTCCTTTTTATTTTCCCTTGGAACATGTCTGCTATTAAACAAGGCATTCATCATCATAAAGTCGTATTTCGTAGAACCGGAACAACCCACATCCTTAACCATTTGCGAATAGCAATCTAATCTAGATCTACCTTTAATTTTCTTAACTCCCGTTTCTGCCTCTTATATGTCTCTGACTAGACCTTCATGTCTACAACGTGTACTGATTGAATGAGAGTCCCCATTTCAATCAGAACATTCCAGATCAATAGAATTATACTAATTCAGTACTTATACCAGTGGGTAGATATTACGTGTAATATAAATTGTCTGGAATTCACTGTTACTTTTTTAAACTTCTGAGAATAATTGCTGAAAAAATGCAAATCTTAATTTTCTTTTGCCTTTTTATTGTTTATGTATCTCCTGGGAAATTTTCCTTTCATATTTTGTAACAGGATTTTTCAGATTTCATGTTGTTTTCTCTTTGCCTATTTTGAACGTTAAAGAGAATCTCAAAAAAATCTAATTATAAGATAAAAGTAATCCAATGAACCAGGAAAGACATTTATCTGATAAGAAGAAAGGTCATTTATCATTACGTAGTAGTAAGATAATAACGAAAGTAACAAAAATGAAATAGCTTTGGCTGTTTGGCGATTATCCTAACAATAAAACGTAATCAACACATTAAAACCGACTATAAAAGTTTAAATCATTCAATAAAATTACATAAAAGGATTAAATAGAAACTGATATTGTGTTGCTTAAAACGATTTGATAACCAGTGGCAATGTGAGCAGGTGTTACAGAATATCTCAGAATCCTACGCAGCAGTGATAGTTGGCCATTCGGCTTTGCGCTGGTATTCTTGCTTTAAGCAGTCTCTGAAGTAATAGACCGCGACGTAATCTATCCAATAACTTCCACTTGCCCAGGAGGAGTTGCATCAGAACAAATAAATGTTAATTGTATCGATGTTTGTGGGAAACAAGCCAACCAGAAAGTCAGTAAAAACACCCACGATAAAACCTCAGACACTAAGTAACTTTAGTAAGTACTAGTCTACACAAGATTATACTAAAAGCAATCCCTATATTATGCATGGATCTTGAATTGATGTGATTCGAAATAAACTGGAAGAAGATTTCTGGACAAATCAAACACGTTTGATTTACTAATCAATAATGTTGGCGTTAATTAAAATCCCATTGCTGCAAATTGTTTTTGTGATTCTCTTTTCCACTATACCAGTTATGGTATTAAACTTTAAAATGTATTTGGATATGTGCACAATCCACCACATAAGTTTTTAGTGGGCCATCACATACAATTTGTGACAAAAATCAGATCAAATTATCTTGATGATCTAAACGGTGCTTTTACTCTGCTGTTTCAATAGCCCAAAAAAAGCGGTATAATTAGCTGTAAAGGACATATTGATCACTCGCTTAAGGACAAGTGTCCATCGTCCAATAGATGGAATTTGGGCGTATCTTAATTCGAAAAATTTAGATTTCTGACAAAGTTTATTCTATTATTACACATACAAGAGGAAATAGACTTGATTAGATATAAAACAAATATTTGCTGTTATGACTCCTTATTGGATATTTTACCTGAAGGAGATAGTGGCAGTCCACCTGAGAGAACGCTGGGAGCTGTATTGGGTGTTGGTAAACCAACTGGGTCCATTTTCCAATTTATAGGAGCAGAACGTGCAGCCGGTGCCACTGGGGGTATCGGACAGCACCCTGCTAGGTTTGATACATTTGAGAATTCATTTCCACTCCCCAAAGTGTTTCCGTTAGAAATCAGCATCATCGGAACTGATTTGGAACATCCAGTTAAAGATCATTTACAACAGGACGCTTTTCAATGAGAACCAGTCCGAAATACTTTGTAATCCCGAAGAAGCTTCAAGGATTCTTAGGCACAGAATATTAGCAATATTAGAGTATGTAGTTCATTGATGGGCAATTTTGTCACAAGATAATTCACTCGATATAAAAAGGACAGTCACCACTCAAGTCACATTAATATCTAGATATTTGTCACAATAATAATCGGCAAAACTATACGCCTTTTGTCACCAAGTTCTTCCGTTTCAACTTATCAGTTTTGAAATGCGAGCTCCTTCTTCCGGTGAAAGAGTTGTGGAGTCCGTTTGGTCCCTCAACAGTGGCGCACCCGTGGAAGAGATGAACAGTTGATTTGAAGAAGCCGGTAAGTTGAAGGTTATGATCGGAGTCGGCCACGACACTGAATGACTGCCCAGATCCAGCAGCCGATCTACCTGCCAGGTAAGTGTTCAGACTCACCTGGTTGGCTACCTGTGCTCAGCGATAGGCAGGCTTGCACCCTCCCGTGCACGGCCCACTTCGTTTGCTCATCGCGCACTGCCCTTCGGCTTCGTTACGCTTGCCGAAGACGCCGGGCGTCGGACGGAGACGGAACGAGAGATATACAGAAGTGCGAATTGGCGCCCACGTGGAAACGGGGAGAAGCTGCTTCTTCTATTTCTACTTGCTGCTATTGCTGGTGCCGCTTTCGTGTGGATAATGAATTAGAGACGTAAGTGAGCGGCTTCGTAATGTTCGCGGGAGGGGAAGGAGGCGTAGAAATGGAAATAGAGGTTTCAATTGGCGAATTTAGATGACTCTTTGTGGATGAAGATTACAACAAAAAAGATATGGACAAATCAATGCACTAGCTTTTGTTAAGTTGAAAACAAACATCCGAATGTCCTGCGTCATATACATGTACAATTTATTGTGGTGGAATGCATAATTCTGAGCCCACCTGCTGCCGAGATGTTTCAGAGGCGATTGCAAGGAACATCCTTGAGGGACTTTTCTAATGTGGAGCAAAAGTTGCTCCTCTTTTGCAACAAACAATATGATGCGGTTCAAACCCAAATTACTCAACGACACCTGCAGAAGCCTAAGAAAATACTACAATCTATTGTCCTACATCGACTGGGCACTGCAGGTAGGATAGACAGGCAAAAGTAGTGCGGGAATTTTTTAGCAGTTTGGTATTTAGTTTTCATACTCTGCTACTCTATTTTTATAATTACGTTCCTACCTACTCATTGACGTTAATTTCAATTTCAGTTTATCCGTTTGGAGGTTGCATAGTATCCCCATATATACGTGTTTATCTGCTAATTCAGTTTAATATGTGAGTTATTGATTGGTTTCTATGGCTTTCGTGGCCATTAGATTTCAGTGAGGTGTTTCTATTTGGATTTTTAGCTGATGCATCAATTTTGGAACCATATCTACGGTTTATGAGAATGGTGCATCACTTAAAATTTCATCAAATTAGTTCCTCAGTAGAAGTACACGAAATCTGAGTCCTACTTCAGCATTTCAAGTGTTAATTGCCCTCAATGACTTTAACGCACATATTACATCCACCTATTGTAAAATTATTGAGATACTGGTGTTATCGTCAGGGTCTAGTATGAACAAATCCAAAATGTACTTAGTAAAGAACAACTTATTAAACTCATGAGTACGTTAGCTGGGACTTGTTTTTACATTGTGTGTTTCGGATTATCTTCCGATTCATCTCCAGTCGTTCTCAATTACAAAATGAAATCCTGAATACTGTTTAACACGGGCTCAACAACCACCAAAAGTAAATATTGTTTTGTTTAAGACTAAGACCCTACTAATGGTGATGTGTCAATCGATCGGCGCAAGCAAGTCTTCCGGATTCAGTGGATGTCTTCATATTCTACAGGGTTATGTGGTCGAATCGTTGGTTTTAACTTGAAGGCATATTTTCTCAAATTGGGACATTTCCTTCAATAGCCTGGGAAGGAATGGCCATTGGCAATGAACACCTCCTCCCTTTGAACTCTAAGGGAGTTCTAACTCTGCAGAAGGTAGGTAATACGAAAAACATAAAACTACTTGCTGTATGATGTTAGAAAATGGAAATTAGCCCACACGCAATCTGCCGAATTAAATTGTTCCCAACGAGCCAAAGCACCGACCTTTGGTTTTGTAAATACAAGGTGTTTTTAAAATCATGCGAAGTCTCTTCAGAGTTTATGAAATACTAGCCATCTTCCATTAAAACCTTTTTTATTACACTCCGCTGCGCTCATAAAAATATTTATACTTATATAGTTATTTGAAGCACTAATTACTAAGTGCCTCTGGAAGACAGAAGTGCCTCTTCTACATCAACACTTCTTGTATGTGTATCTCCCTTTTATGGCTTCTCGAATCCTTAATTTCCTTTCCGACCGCAAATCTCGTCAAAAATGCAGGTTTATTGCTTCTTGTCGTAAAACAACGAGCTTTTTTTCCATTTGCGGCCTATGAGCGCTATTGGAACCTAAAGCTTACGGAAGTCATATTCGCTCAGTGGGAGAGAATGCCGTAAGCCAATCGATCCGGCGGGCGGAGCACAGAACTCAAGCTCCTCCTTCTGATAGACAAGAAGTGCGACCAGGTAACGCTTTACAGGTAAATAGAGTCATAAACAACTTGACGATCAGTCTTCCTGAATCAAAGCTTCATCTGCCAGAGATATTACCCGTGATGCAGTGACACTTGCAATTAATCGTAAGTGTTTTAGAGTTCTCCAGTTAACACTCTGGTTGCTGATTCCTTGCTATCTCAAAAACTTTGGATTTTGGATTTTTAGATAATCGGGTAAATCAGAAAGTGATCACTTCCAAGCAATAATTTGCTCTTTTCTAGTACCTAGAAAGTACTATACGACCTACCTCTTATTTCCTAATAATACCTTTGATAGATACAGCCAGGTGCCCACTTCCAACAAGAAACAACAAATCCTCATTTCCTCTTGATTCTTGTTGGTATTAGCCTCAGTGGGCTTAATGGTTGTTATATCTAAATAAGTTTCAGTTGTTACTTATATGAACCGCTCAACCACCGATTTCAACACCAACCAAGTCAAATCCGTATGAAAATCCATATTCACTTATGGTATTACATTAAAGCTTATATTTCATAATATGTTAAGTGAGAATAGTCTGAGAGACTGGAGTTACTATCGTATATTGTAGTTGTTATCTAAACCACTAAACAACCTGCTGATTCCAACGATTCCGTAATTAGGCATTTTTCAAGGGTTTGTGTTTATCCAATATCACATATTGTTCTAGCAATGTCAATCATGTAAAGATAAACTCAGAATTGAGTCTTGCGTCCAACAAGTGTTACGACTGAAAACCCTATTGATGATGATGTCATTTAAAATCTGCCTCTATTCGAATATTTGTCAATTTAATAAAGATACTTTCTCATGTTGGAAACAGCAGCAGGACAAGAACAGTCCTCCCAATGGCATGGTAAGGCAGGTATGCTACAAAAAATTTTCCCTTATCTACGTCATGTTCCTTACGGTGCTCCCATTTGACCAATCACAATACATGAGTAAATGGAAAATGATTCATTAAATAAATGTAAATACTAGATAGGGTAGGCATACATTCATCGATATGGAAATACAGTTTAGTTTTTCCCAGATGTATAATAACGTTGAAATATGCATTACATGTGGATATCTCATCAGCCCAGTATTTTACGTCGAGTGTCTTATTCCATATTCTATGGGTAAAGAAATAATAATATGGTCGTGCTATTTCCTGGAGAATACCATGTAATCTAATTATCAACATTACATGTCCGACCTATATAAACAGCGATGGTTTGGAAAGTGAAAAAAATGAGAAACTGTTGACGAAATCCTCCTTGCTTTCCGTTTATTTCTTTCTTAATCGATTTTCTTGGTTGCGGTTAAAAATTCAAAAGCAATTCGTTGCATAATAGGTAGGTTTCAAACAGTACGCCACGCGAAACTAGACATGTCATTATCGTGTACCTCTACAATAATTCTAAACGTTTCGGAGTTGACCTTGCTTGTGTGTACTTTTATTAATTCATTATTTGCGTGAGAACAGACGCAGCATATAATCGATACAACACTATATTCGAATAATATTTCCAAGTGTAAAAAAATATAAAAATCCATCAGATATATTTTAAGCATTAATCTTTACATCCATCGTTGTTCTAGGCAGCATTTCTTTTTATTCGATTAGAAATGTTGTTTGATATTATTGTTGCATTTGTATTATTTCTTAGAGACTGTATGATTCAGTTCATGTTCAATCCGAATTTGATCATATCTGAAGACCATAAAAAGCAGTGATACCTTATATAGTGGGGATTAGAATTTAAATTGTGACTGATTATGAATGTAGCTCTTAAATAATAAAATAAAATTGTGTGTCCTTAGGGTTTGCTTTCCAACTTTTCCATTACATTTCTGCAGTTGGGGATTAAATTTACGCTCATTATTTACACAGATATATCTTTTATTATTCACCATGATGTATATGGCTTGTGAGTTCTTTTATTAAAGCAGGGCTTCCTGGAGCACCGAATGAGGTCCTTTCATTTAGAAGTAACTGCTTTGGTAGTTATTATAAAGATTTAAAAAAAATGTAACCATCTTTTTTAACTAATTAACTCATCGGCAGTGTGGGACGGACACATCCGCGTAAATTGCCCCGCGAATTGTAAAAACAAAGAATTATCCTCTCAGTTTCGAAAAAGATCTCTGTAGGACGAGTCATCTAGATAAGTTCGCTTGGAAAAATACTGTCTTAATCGTTGTTCGTTTAGCACGTAAATCACATCATCGGACGTGATGGCGCGGGTATCACATTTAGCCACTACACACTATATATAACACTACACACCGTTCGCTGTTGTCACCAGATCGCCGTCCTGCCGTCCACCGGACGACAACTTTTTGGTCAGACAATTGTACCGAAGCCGGTGTCAATTAGGAACGTTTTTAAGGCCGATTTTGGCCCGCGAAGGATAATAAGCGATAGCGTGTAAGTAGCCGGGATCAGTGCTGTACCTAATCAACAATTTTGGGGTATTTTTTAATTAATAATGCTATGATTTATAGTAATTTATTGTCAAGGATTTACAGAACAACTAAGCGCATTCACAACTCTCTACTGCATAGATGAATCTCGACTGACTAATGTGTACTAAAGTTTGCTATTCGGTACATACTTGTTTATTTTAAAAACAGGTCCATCCCTTTTTGCATTGGTCGATCGCGAACACACCGACGAGGTTTTTATAAACGGTGCGTTTTGTCAAAGCGTAAGCCGACGATCGATTGACACACGTGTAGGTATACAATTCATTTAAAATAGGACAGGAAGTGTATACTTTACAGGTCTAGCTACACTAACAGACAAAACATTGTCAATAATTCTTCCTCAAATTCTACATTTGATACCCA